AAGCAACCACACGAGTAACACCCAGACTTGGCACGTCTTTACAGGAACATATTTGGCAGCCAACAGCCAGCCCAAATGTCTTACGGATCTGCGAAAATACTTCTTTCAAATCAATGGCCTCCCTCTGTAAATAACACAGGATTCTGGGCCTCCTCTAACTGTGTATTGATACATTAACCATGCACACAGAATCAAGTAGAGCCCGGAAAAAAAGTACTATTTTCTAGTCTTATAATCAGTTCCTTTTTTGATGTTTTGGGGGTTTTTGTTTGCCTTTTTTTATTATTATTTGTTTGGAAACAGGGTCTAACTGTGGAGCCCTAGCTGGCCTATAATTCACTCTGTAAACCAACCTGGCCTCAAACTCACAGAGAGCCACCTGTGTCTGTCTCCCAAATGCTGGGTCTAAAGGCGTGTGCCGCCACTAGCTTGTTAATCTTTTTAATATGCAGAAACATATGCAAATTGTATAAGCAAAGCTTATATGTATACACTTTGCTTATGCCACAAGCTCTCATGGAAAACCAGCCTCAAATTAAATACAGCACTTAAATTACTTTAGAAATGCTCCCACCCCTAAACTCTAAACTTAAAAACAAAAAGTTAAGAACTTGGACCAGAGATGAGCACAACAAAACACTCACCAAGTAAGATTCATTGTTCCAGCATTCAAAATACAAACTCAATAAAGAATTCGGAATCCCTCACGAGCACACACCACCAGCTCCTGCAAAAGCTGAGGAACATGGCCTGAGCTATGCCCGTAGGAGGAAGGTAGGCAAGCCAGAGAGGAAAAGCCTGGCCCTGCGCCCTCGGCTCCACCCGGTCAGGAGGACTCACCCAGGCTGCTGCTGCAGACACAAGGCACCAAGGAACGAAGTGCACACCCAGGCTTTACAGATGCCCTGCAGCCGCGGGGCAAGAGAGGAACGTACCTGAGGTGAAGAGGCTAGGCAGCCCGGGAGCCAATCAACGTGAGTTCCCACCACGAGGGAGGTCCTGACACTTCCAGGAACTGCAGGAGGTTTTCCTTTAAGAGCTACAGACTGGGAGACAGCTCACTGGGTGAAGCAGCTGGCTGCACCAGCCTGATGACCTCCGTTGAGGTCCCCAGATCCCACAAAAAAAAAAAAAAAAAAAAAATCCCGTAATCTGTAATCTCGTTGTCTAAACTGGTAGAGGGAGACAGACAGTACATGGAAGTGTGCAGAAAACAGGGCTAAATTTTAGTATCAAATAAGAAGTTAACAGGAGAGTTTTCAAGTGTCTATTTATAACTAAATAAACACACACAGCACACATGCAACCCCGTGACAAGCCAATGGAAATATGGCGACAGGGGCTGCAGGCAGGTGCCACAGAACACGGGTCTAAGAGAAGTGCGTGAGAACTGGGAGTCACACGTCAGCGTGGCGACACCGTGAGCAGCACGGCAGGCTCCCAGCCGCTCACAGGGCCAGCAGGTTGAACAGTCGTGCAGAGGCCCACCCTGGCCTGGCAGGGCAGCTGGGCAGATAGGATGGCCAACCCCCAGACACAGCCAAGGAGACTACCCTGCTCACTAAGTCTCTGGCAGCTCCTCCAAGTTCAAACACGCTCCAGACACAATGTCCTTCTCACCCACCACCTTGAGGTCTACACTGATGGTTTTCTGAGTCTGAGATTCCATACACTTACATATACCCTGTACCTCTCCATTAAAAATACAAATTTCTGCAGTGGTCAAATACAGTTTCTACCCGTGCCAAGTCACTTTTCAACAACTGGAGCTCAGTATCTTTCCACACTCTTACTCACAGTGCCACATGGATACGTGTGTCAGGCATGACAACGGCTGCCTGGTCCAGGCCATGTTCAGAAGGAACCACTGTGGCCAAGACAGCCTCCTACGACTCTCCTCCAGCATCCACATCAAGCCCTGGACGTCCAGGCTGCCATGCAGGTGAGATCACAGCACCAAAGGTGTTTAATGGAATTAACACAGAGAGCTGAGCACCCATGTCAACTGCAGCTGTCAGGCTGGCTCTTGTAAACCATCATTCACGCATCACTGCTTTCTGCAAACCTGCTCTAACAGTTATACCTAGGCTTTCCGTCAATGTCTCATGGGCGTATAAAATGCCTGGTTTAAATACCTGCAATCTTAATAACAGGATAGGAGAGCATTTGCCGATGCTCTGTGCGTACTCTGAGGAAAGAGCAGAAGAGGGGCACTGCGCAGCTCCCAGCACTCAAAGGTCTCTTTTCAAAAGCCGCTAGCCCAAAAGCCTCCGCAGAGTGAGAATAGTCACATGATGTGGCCATGTGACATGCCCGTCTCCTTCAGAGATAGCTACGACTCCATAACTTGATGCTAATACACGGCCTGGGCGTTAGTGGGGAAGTCGCTGTCCTTGGGACCACAGGAAATGATGTCAGCAGATCCACAAGGCTCCTCGGCACCTGCCTGCCATCAACCTCTCTCTTTTCTTACTAAGTTGCATCTTCCCCTCTCTCTTCCCATATTAGGTTCAAATATGACACATTATTAGGATGATGTAAGTACATGTGTAGAAGGAATTTAGCTCAGTGGTAAAGTGTTTGTCTAGGAGTTCGCTACCCAGCAACTCGAAAACCCACTGTATTAGTGCAAGCCTACAGTCCCAGCACTGAAGAGATGGAGGCCAGCACTAGAGAAACTTCTCCACTCTTGTACAAAGGAAACAATGGTCTCTGATGCTTAATAACGAACTCAAGGAAAATTGTTCTTTAACTAGAGCTGTAGAGACAGCTCAGCATCTGAGAGCGCAGAAGGCTCACAAGAGCCTGGCCCCGGCATCCTCGGCTCACAGTCACTCCTAACTCCAGTTTCAGGAGCTGTGGCAGCTTCTGGACTCCATGGCCAGGGCGTTCCCACAGAGAAGCAGGCACGCACACACAATTCTCTAAAACCTCTTTAAAGAAAAACTCAGCTTGGCTCGGCAACTGCCTGGCTTTGACGGGGCCACTGGGTTAGCTCATGAGGAACCCCTGATTTCCTCACAAAGGATGGGGGCAATGTCTGCCTCCTGCGGGACCCAGGGGTCAAAGTGTGTACTCTCAGCTACTCGGGAGGCCAAGGCAGGAGGAGTAAAGGTTGAAGGCCAACTTGGGCTACAAAGTGAGTCTAAAGCTTGTCTCAACACCTCAGTGAGACCTTGTCTTAAAACAGAAAAATAAAGACACGGGCACCATCACTCATGGGAATGTGCTCATGTCAGACCTAGGCAAGGCCGTAGGGTCAGATGCTAACACTACAAAAGTAAAAACTTTTTCCTCAAAGTGGAAAAAAAAAAAGACACAGTGCTTCCCTAACATTTCACCGAACACGCGCGTAACAAAATCACCGCACCATCAAAACACTACCAGTCACATAAACAAGTGTGCAAACAGAAAAGGGGGCTTAAAGTTCAAGAAGGTCAACAGGCCTCACTGGCTGGCCCGGCTCTGCACCTTAAGCTGCAGAAAAAGTGCAGAAGAGCTTCAGCAGAGAGCCTCCCTGGCCAAGCACCTGTCCCCACCCTGGAGCAAAGAGCCTGCAAGCAGCACGCCTTTCTGGTTCACTCGGCCCTGCAGGTGCTGAGACCCTCCTCCCCTGCAGAGAGGCGCAAAGGGCTGAAGAACTGCCCTTGTGTCCAGGTGCGATGCCTCTGCAGAGCCAGGGCAGCAGAGAGCCCTGTACCACACCAGGCACATCTAGTACTTAGACTCAATCACCCCGAGGAAGGAAAGCAAGTTCCCCCTGCCCGTCCCCATCCTGGCTGCATCCCCGTCCCCACAGCTCTGCGCTGGGCTCCTCTGCCTGCAAGCCCCCGACCTCAGGTGCCAGGACAGTGCCCAGCAGCTACAGGGCACCCCGGCTGTGTGCAGCTACAGGCTCGGCCCACAAACCTCTTTCTCTCAGCAGCTGCCATGGCCGAACAGCCTAGGCTACCCCAAATGCTTAAAGTGGGTGTTTTCAAAGGGGGAACTGTGAAGGGTCAAATCAGGGACCTAGAAACATCTTCAGAGCTGCAGTTTGAAAAGAAGTCCGCTCCAGTTCCCAGTCTCCAAGGCCACAGGTTACCTGACACCACGGAGACCTACTGTAACCACACAGACGATCTTAGTCTTCTATGCACGTGTTCCGCAGGAAGAGTGGAAGAGGAAAGTGTGTATACAAGAGCATGTAAAGCGTATTGTGTGAGTGTGTGCATATGTGTGTATGTGAGGATAAGCACATGGCATGTGTTCGGTGTATGTTAAATATGTGGGCACGTATGACTGTACATCAACACGTGTTCTGTGTTTATGATCTCCACATGTGTGTATCAATGCATGCGCTGTAATGTGTGCGTGTTTATGTGTACATATGCATGTGTGCTTGACTGTGCACATGCTTGTGGACATGAGTGTTCTGGTGTCTATCTGTGTTCTCGAAGGCCTGCGCAGATGTATACTTCTGTATGTGCACGTTTGGGACCATGATGCGCCATGCGCATATGCGAGGCACACGCGTGCATGCGCACTTCTGTGTCTGCATGTGTGCTTGCTTGAGCGTGAGTAAGTGTGGTTTTGGTGTTTATACGTGGTGTCTTTCGTGTGTATGGCGAGCACGCACAAGCACATGTACTTGGGGAAGAGAAGGGCATTCCGGAGGAGTCTTGGACTCACCCCTTACTGACGGACTACGGACACCAGAAGAGAACACAGACTGAGGAAACCAAGTGTTCATTAGTGCAGCCTTAGTGGTGAGCAGCCACAAGGAGACCAGGAGGACGAGACAGCGTCGGTTTACGGCAGTGCCAGCTTAGCACCCGCTGTGCAGGATGCCCAGCGCCCAGCCTCTGGATACAGGACTCTGAGCCCGAACCAGAAACAGGGCACAAGGCCATCACAACACAGGGCTTCCGAGGGCGCCCCAGCAGGACCGCCCAGGTCCGGGTCCAGGAAAAGGGCTAGTGGGCTGCAGACACCGGACCCACCCCGCCGCCCCCACTCACCTGCTACGGGCTCGGGCACAGCCTCCTCACCGCTATCATCCACCACCTCCTCGGCCAGGCCAGAGCTCTGGCCTGGGGAGTCGGTGATGGCGCAGGCCGAGCCAGGGCTGCTTGGCTGGGACGTGGAGTCACCCTCGCTGAGGGAACCGCAGCGGGCCCGCACCGCCCTGTCCCCTTCGAGGTCCCTGTCTCGGCGCGCACGGCGGTGCACGCGGGAGTGGAGCACCATCTGGTGGTAGGTGCGGAAGATCTTGCCGCACTCGAAGCACTCGGAGGATTTGCCCTGGCCAGCGGTGGCCGCGGGCCTGCGGCTGGGGCGCGAGGCAGGCCGGGGGTCCGGGTGGCCAGGAAGCATGGGGTCCCCAGGGACACTGGCCCTCTTCCTGGGGGGACCCTGGGTAGCAGGGGCGTCCTGCTCACGCTTGCGTTTCTCCTGGCTCACCAGTATGTACTCACGCTTGTCCTTGTCAAAGGCTACGTCCCCGGCCAGCGCTTCATCCCAGGTCCCGTACTTGAGGTACTCGGCCGGCTCAGCCACCTTGCCCCTGGTGGCCAGCTGCCAGGCCTGATAGCTGTTGACGGGGTCCAGCTCGGGCACCCGCCGCCCAGACCGCCCACTGGGGGAAACATCACCAGCCACGCACGGTGTCAGGTTCAGGCACTGTAAGAAGAGCTGCTTACTGTCCAGGGGACCCTCTGTGTCCCCCTCCTCAGCCGGGGCTCGAGTCCGGCTGGCTTCAACTTTTCGGTGTATGGCGTTATGGGCATTCAAGCTGTCCAGGTTTGTAAACAGGTTCCCGCACTTTGTGCAGACCTCGTAGAGGGACAGGCCGGCGACGATGACCTCCTCCTGAACCACGTTGTTGATGGTGGCGATGGGGTCCAGCTCGCTCTTGGGCTTGTTCTTGCTTCCCGCCTTGGGGCCGTGTGCCTTCATGTGGTTCTTGAGGAACCACGGCTCTTTGAATCTCCGGCCGCAGATGTGGCAGCCGTGGTCAAAGGAGCCTCGGTGCTTCTTCATGTGAGCCTTGAGGAACCAGGTCTGGCTGAAGGCCTGGCCACACACCTCGCACGGGAACTCGCCAGGGCTCAGCTCGGGTTTGCCGTTCTCCACGCAGGCCTCGCCGCCATTGGGCACCTGGGCTGTGATGTGCTCCCTCTCGACGTGGCTCAGCAGCGACTCCTCCCGCAGGGCAACGTAGCTGCACAGCCTGCACTTGAAGGGCTTGTGCGCTTGGTGCACGTGCAGCTCCAGGTCCTTCTGGCGCGGGAACCGGCTCTTGCAGAAGGGGCACTGCACAGCGGCCTCGGCGTCTTCCTGGGCACCCGCCATCACCTCCACCTCCTTGCGGCTGCTCCTCAGCAGAATCTTGCTGCCGTCCACCTGCACGGCCCCGTTGAGCATGCGGTTGCAGGCCGAGGTGCTCTTGGTGGGGCTGGCACACCCATCCGGGCCCTCGGAGACCCGCATCTCACCCAGCTGCGCCTCGCCGGCCTCCGGCTCGTGCCCCTGGATCAAAGTCCCTGTCCGGTGGCTGCGGATGTGAATCTTGAGGTTGCCCTTCTGGGAAGCCCTGTGGTCACAGTAGGGGCACTTGTAGGGCTTCTCCCCCGTGTGCTTGCGCATGTGCTGTGACAGGGAGCTCTGGAAGGGAAAGCTCTTGCCGCAGATGCAGCAGCTGTGGCAGGCAGCCTTGTCCCCGTCCACCTCGTGGCTCCTGCCGGCCCTGGGTGGGCTGGGTCCTCTCCTCAGCTCCATCTCAGCCTCTCTGCTGTGGTCCATCGGGACGACGTGGTGTCACGGCAAAGCCTTGTGTCGTGAGGGCCCGAAGCTGTGTCTTATCTCGCCATTTTCAGAGGGGCTCCTGCCGCCCAGCGGGCAGACAGGTACTTCTGACCAGCGGGTGCATGTCCCGTGATGCGGCAGACGGCAGCCAGCACCTGTGGCAGAGACAGAACCCTCATTAATTGTGTGCGCAGCACTGCCTGTGGTCAGTTTCTGGGTACCCACTGAGGAAGCCGCTCACTCTGAACTAAAGGGCAAGGACACTCCTGAACACGGCAACAGGTGAGTGCTGAGCCACTTGCCCCTTTAAAGGTCCACAGCAATAGTCATGCTAACATAGGTAACTCCTACACACCTCCACCAGAAGGGGAATCTTTAAGAAAACCTGCAAAACCGTGTTGAGTGTGGAGAAAAGCAGGCTTCCGCACAAGAGGACGTAAGGGACAGGGAAGCAGAGTTGAAAGGATGGGAGGCAGAGTCTGGCTGAACCCGGAACCCACACTTCCTGAGTCTTGGAGGGTACAGCTGGCAGTAGCTAAAAGGGATGCTGCTGGATTTAGGGCTGAAGAGGCAAGCCCTCCGTTAGGAACATACAGGGACATAAAGCAGAAACACCCAAATCCTGAGGCCGTGGATCCTCGCGGCAGCTACCCTGTCTGGGCTACGTGTACAAGTGCTGTCTGTAGTGCAAGCACAAACCGAGCACAAACCAAGCACAAACCACGCACATCTGGCCTGGCCTACAATTTCCTTCCCTTGCTCGTATGCATCCAAAGGGACCCCAAGCTCCCCAAGACCGAGTCCGGACTCTAGGAAGACCGCCTTCCACCAAAAGGCTGTGTGCCTTCCTTCCCGATTTACTGTGTCCTCACGGGTCAGACTCAAATCCTGGCCCTAACAATGACCAGGATATGGTGCCCAGGCCATGCTGAGTCCATACATCATCACGTACTATGGTCACGCCACTCCACGCCTACCCATCCACCAGAGGAGAGGCAGGTTCCTCCCTGGGTCCTACCCGCTCCCTGACAGCCACCTAACCTGACAGCCTATGTGCTTAGGCCCAGTGCTGAGCAGGGTATGATGCTGAGACAGGCAAGCAGGCAGGCAGGCACATGCATGCACTCGTGCCTGCACGCGCGCGCGCACACATACACACACACACAGAGAGAGAGAGAGAGAGAGAGAGAGAGAGAGAGAAAGACAGAGAGAGAGAGAGAGAGAGAATTTGCATGTGCAGAATTTTACAGAACACAAAGAAGCCACACACCTAGTTTTTGTTGTAGGGTCGCAGTGTGCTCACACTGTCTTAACCACATCATAGGGTTTCTTCCCAGAGAGCCTTAGGTACCCATTCCTGGCCTGCTCTGGGTATCGCCTGCACCTATTCACTGAGATAAGCCTTAAAGGAAAGGATCAACCAGCAGAGGTGCTGCCAACCGCTGGACATGGCAGACCTCCTGAGAGCAGCGCGGCCACAAACACTCCACGGGATAGAAATCTCAGAGTGACCTGAAAACACAGGAGCTGAGGAGAGGACCCAGCCCTCCTAGGGCCAGCAGGAGCCATGAGATAGATGGAGACACGGCTGCCTGCCACAGAACAGCTGTTGCTTCTGTTGAGAGGGCTTTCCCCTCCAGAGCCTGCTGACACAGCACATGCTGAGCATGCAGAGGAGAGCCCCCTACAGGTCTCCAAAGAACCTAAATTGCACAGGCTGGACAGCGCCCCCTACAGGTCTCCAAAGAACCTAAATGGCACAGGCCAGGCCGTCAGGCTGGACAGTGCCCCCTACAGGTCTCTAGGACAACTAAATGAGCATATGGAGGCCAAGCTGGGCAGTCTCCTGCAAGGGTGTGCCTTCCTGGCTCCTGCAGAGACTGCCCAGCAGAGCCCAACAGCAGAAACAGAGCCCAAAAAGCTCACTGCCTCCAAAAGTAAAGCAAAATCATAAGCTTCTTGAAGTTGGTAAAGGAGGTAATCGTGACCACATCTCAAAGACAAAGCCAACTTAAATAATTTTATCAAGAAGCTTTTTGTGGCTGTATAGTTATTTACAGTCACTTAATATAAAAGGCAAATAATTCCGAGAAAGTGCCACAATTCCCAGACACTACTCCAGTTCCCCTGAAAATGCTAGATAAGAAACATATAAAAATATGAACGAAAAAATTCTGTACATGTAACTTAACGAAATAGGGCATAAAAGTCTTATGCATTTAAAGAATTGTCTGGCGATAAACTGAAGAAAACCAAAATCTGGGGTCGAATGGACCTGAAGTAACTTCAGACTCCAGTGTACTGCCACACGCCCATCAGTGGTGTCCAGTGCCATTCAGCTACCCAAGAGAGCTAGGCAGTCACATGCCAGGGCCTGAGAAGAGACTCAGCAAGAGCCACGGGTACGCAGGGACCGCAGCGGCAGCCCACGGAGCACCGGGGTGAAGGCGAACACCTGGGGCACGTAGGCCTGCAGGTGCAGGTGCCGCCACCGCTGCGGCCTGCTGACACCTGCTCCGCCTCAGCTACAGGGGTGAGGTGTGGAATCGCAGCTCTGTGACTCCACTACAAAGCCGGCCTGGTCCTCTGCCCCCTCCCCTTCCCCCACACTTTACACCCTAGGTGCATTTCCCACCTGTTGGAGATGTAAGGAAATGAGAAGACAGAGCCCTGGGTACCTAGAGGACCTTCACAAAGGGCTCTGTGTGGCTCTGCCCTGCCAGTGACACACGCCTGCCCTTCTTCTCCTCAGTGTTTACCAACCCCAAGCACACATGGACACCTGCCCTCACCAGCCCAGAGACCTGTGTGGGGAGCTTCCGTGTTCTACCCAGCCATCCCCCAAACTAGTGAACAGGAAGGCACTCATTCAGGGCAGGGTTCAGTGCCACAGGCAGCCCAGCTTTCCTCCTCAATAAAAAGCCCTGAAACAAAGCCCAGGAGAAGCACCCAGGCTGGATTTCAGAGCACTAAAGGCCCTGAAGAGAAAACAACAGCCATGCCGACGTGAAGATTGCCCATGGCCAAGCCCGGTCAACACTGGCTAAGGCACGCTGCAGGGGACTGAGCCATTCTGACCAGAGGCTGGGCCACTGCTCCTGGTAATGCAGGCTGGGGACCAAGCCTTGTTCTACCTCACATCCCCACAGGGTCACTCAGGGGCCAAACCAACAGAGCTCTGAACTCATCCCTTCAGCTACAGGTACAAACTGGTGTCAGTCAAGGCTGTCACCTGTGGAGCTCACCATAAATACTGAGCGCAGAAGTCTGACGGCTGCATCAATCGCAGGTAGTGTCCAGCCACTCATACAAACTACTGTCCTTAAAGCCCAAGGCCACAGTGGCCAGCCAGGCTCCAACGAGTTACCCACCACATCTGTACCTGATGGGCAACGGCACATGGTACCCTGTGTGGTACCCTGTGACTAAGCAGGGTCTAACCAAACAGTCAACACCATCTGGCTAACCAGAGCATCCACAAAGCACGTCAACCTGAGAGTAACCGGCCTTGGAAAACCAATACATGCTAGCTTGCTACCTCAGCCCAGACGACCTGGCACCCTGCGCCCTGCACCCCTGCACCCTGCGCCCCTGCGCCCTGCACCCTGCGCCCTGCACCCTGTACCCCCTGCGCCCTGCACCCCTGCACCCTGTACCCCCTGCGCCCTGCACCCCTG